CCGCTCCAGCTCAAATGATGCACGTGTGCTTCCAAGGCCATGGGCACGCTTCGGTGGAGAGCCGAGGTCTTCATGCGGACTTCTCATTTCACCGCACAGAACGCTAAAGGGCAATGCATTCGAGGACTGAGGTTTAACGACGTGAACAGTTTTTACTATTTCATCAAGGCCACTCTTAAGTGAAACGAGCCCTTCTCACCCCCTGCAAGCAGGTGGCAATGAAGAATGCAATGTCCGCTGACAGTTTGCTGCCACCGCCCTGAATCGTGCCAAGGTGCCAGCTGTCCCGCCCACCTCTGCTCTCTGTGACAACAGTGTGGACCCCGAGGGCCCTCCTCTCCAAGAGCCGCTGCTCCGACAAACACTCCTCACGGCCTCGGCTACTTTCAGAATGTGGCAGCGGCCCACAACGAAGCCATTCCGCCACGAACCAGCCAGTCGCCATGGCTTACGTGCTTCTGAAGCTCACGCCAAAGCTAAGTTTCCTCGGAAAACTTCCTCTGAATTTTCCTCACAAACACAAGGAGGGAAAGAAGATAACCAGGAGCAGAGACTGTTAATTAAATACATGGCATATCTCGTCCCCGAGCCAGTTTTCTAACTAATGACCCCGGGCAAAGGGACGCAAACAGGGGAGTCCGTCGAGGCAGGCGGGACACAGTGGCAGCAGAGCTGGGTGGGTGTGCCTATGTGAGACTCAATCACACTTCCAGGGCACGCGGCGCAGCAGTGCCTCTAAATGACAGGGTCTGAGTGAGGCCACTGTGTGACAGAAGAGACAAAGACGCCGCTTAAGGACGGCGGGCAGCTTCGTCACTATTCCCCTTGGGTTCAGTCGAAGGGAATCCAGGGACCAAGAAGTAAACAAAACCCAAACACACCCCCCGGAAACCAGAGGGCACCCCAAAAGCGGGGAGGATGACTACACACAGCATCTCCCCACCTGCAGTCAGCCAGCCTGAACCGCGTTATGCTGAGTCTCAAGCCCGAGTCACTGTCAAGGCCACGCAAGGAGTCGCTGGAATAACGAGCCTAAGAACTGGAACCAGAGTCAGGCTCCGGGCAGCAAAATGCTTCCGAACCCAGGAGACACCGCTGCCGTGGCCTTCACTCTGCCAGCGCCTCCAGGACGGGCTAAGTCCCAGGAAGGGGAACTGCGAGCACAGAGGGCCGGCCATGACATCTTGGGGCAGCGGCGGCTCAGCAGAGTGCTCACTCCAGCGTTCCTGCGCTGCCTCGCTTCTGACCTGGAGTGGGCAAGCAGGGCAAGGCCACTCTGCAGTCCCGCCCGAGGCTGGAGTCCCAGCACTGAGGGAGGCGGGGGCGGGGGGGTACTGTGCCTACGAGTTCTCTGCAGGGGAGACTTCAGTCCCGGAAACGGGCTGCTGACTCTGCAGGTGTCACCAGCATAACCATTTTTCAAAGTATGGAGTGAAATATACATTTGTGGATTAGCTCAAAAGCATCCCACAGCATAAATCAGTTCGGTGAAAAGCATGGACCATGAAGACACCTCTATTCTGATCTGCTCTGTCCTCCTTTCAAAGGGGCTGCGATACGTGCCAATGAGAAACGGGTGCTTTCTTAACAGCATGTCATCCTGAGAACGGTGAACGAGAGCCCTAGTGTGCGCGTGACTTCCTGTTTCCACACTCGCGCTCGGCTGAAGAGGTCCCACGCTGCCACCTGGTGGAACGAACGAGAAACTGCCTCATGTGCCCCGGAGGGTGACAAAGGCATTCTTGTTCGGTAAAGTCTCTTTACCAAGGATGCTGGGGTACAGTGATGACCCACATCTTGGGCTTTACCTGCTGTGCTGTCTACCCCAGGCAGCTAAGTTACTAAGTCCTCAGCTAACGATCAACCGCTCATGGAATAAACGTTTAGAGACAGTTGCCTCCAAGCCCTCTAAAGGCCAGGTGGAGAAGGCAGAGACAGGGGACCAGCGATCAAGAAGGTGAGGAGAGACGGGGGCGTTCACGAAGGGGGAAGACGAAGCCGAGAAGGAAAGTGCAGATCAAACTTCACCAGAAAACACTGCCCTTGGGATTCTCAAACATTTTCAGTCAGTCAGAAAAACGAATCCAGAAATACTGAAGTGTATAAAAATAAAAAAGCAAAATGCCTCATTTTAATATATTAAAATTCAAGAAAGATCTATTAAGTTACAAAAATAACAAAAGCGTCTTATAACACGTACAGAACCCCGAGATCTTGCCCAACTCAGGTGTGAAGCCTTGAAGTCAGGTTTAATTCAATTTAAAGACAATGATGTGACATTTTCTGTAGAGCAGGTGGGAAATAAGATTCGTCCTAATGCCTGTTTTCCAAATTTTCTCCAAACGAATCCTCGTTACTTTTATAATCAGAAGACAGGTCAGCAACAAAACTTGTATTAACAACGAATAAATACTCTGCCTTAAAGAACATGACTACCCGCACTGAGCGTGATTTCATGGATCCAGAGGATGCTCCGACCTTGACCTGTGGTCTAAACCCCTCATGCCAGGGCAGCCTGTGGTCATAAGCACCATTCCAGCGGGCCCAGAAGCACACACATTTTCTTTGTGGCTTCTTTTCTGACTTAGGAGGCATGACTGGAAAACTGAAGAGACTCAAAAGAGTTTTAATGGCACAACCACTTGAAAATCAGACAGTTTTAAAGGTTCTTTCTGGCATCGGGCTCACTTTAAATTAATGCCGACACGTCTATTTTGAAAGCGTGTTAAATCGGCAGGAAGGGATGCTTTACACGCAGCCATCCCCTTCCACAATACCTCCTGTTCTCACAGTGAAGTGTCATCTGGTCCTTCCAACACAGATTTTCTCTTCCTGACTCAGTTCTGAGAAGGCGAAAATCACGCTCACGAAAGAAACGGAATGAATCATCTTGATGAGCAGCAATCGCCCCAAGCCTCCTTACAGGGCTGCTCTCTGCAACGCCTGCGCCTGCCTGTCCACTAAATGACCCGATGGCCCTTCCAAAGCTCCCAGGGAGCACCCGACCAGCCCCCCAGGGAGCACCCGGCCAGTCCCCCAGGTAGACTGCACCTGAGACCCATCCTTCCCGCTCCGCCTCTCAGCGGTACCCAGGCTGTGGCTTCAGGAAAGGCTGAGCAGCACGCAGAGGGCCCAAGGGGACTTGCCTTTTCCATCTGTTGCTGATGCTTCTTGTAAATGCCTGATTGACCTAAAAATAAACATTGGAAGAACAAAAGATTAGCTAATAAATTTGCATTCCTCTTTAATTGCAGGGCTAGCTGGTAACTTGAGGCCTTGAACCCTTCAATTATAAACTTGAAGGGTTGGATGAGAGGATTCTGGAGACTTTCCCTAACCACGGGATCCATGATGACACTTCGGCATGGACCACGCTCAAGCCTGAGTTAGAGGTGCCCTCTGCTGGCCGAAAAAAGTCTGGCAGGGGCCTGGGCTTGAGGAGAAAACAACAAACCCAATCATTCAACACCCATGATCTCCTCTATTCCCACAACTACCACCCCCAACCCAGAGCCAACGCGAAGACAACAGAGCATCTGCGCTCACCTGCTACCTGGAGAGAATGGACCCCATAAGGTCCCAGGCTGACTTTCAAAGCCTGGGTCTAGGAGCTGTGAGCCCACGGCCTCATGCAGTCTCTCACTGACTAGAAGTTTACGACTTGGATGAAAATGCCGGCTTCTGGGGAATGTTTTTTCTGGCTGGGATGTGCTGGTAACTAATGACCGTCCTTGTAGTTCAGGTGGGAGAACACTAACGTTACTAAAGACGCCACAGATCAGAGTTCTAGGGAGCATTCAAAGGCGCCAAGGGGAAGACCCTCGTAAGGGGAAGACCCTCGTAAGGGGTGAGCAGGGCAGATGCGGCGTAGGGGGCGGGCCAGACCCGGGAGGAGTCTGACATGCCCACCGGCGCATCGCGGACCGAATCTTCCCTAGTATTTGATTTTTTTCATTTTATGGCAATTTTCCAAAAATTTACCTTAAAGAATCTTGCCATTTGGCATCTGCTTGTTAGCGCTGTAACTGACAAGTGGCAGGAAGTGGCCACTTGTAGGTGTCTAGCACATCGGGGTCTCCCCAGGCCTCCCTGCGCCTTCTCTTCTGCAGAGTGGCCAAAGTAAGCGTAGGGTCTCACTCGGTTCCCTAACAAGAAGGCGCTTTCTGTCCGGAGACAGCGCAGGCCGCCCTGTCACAGACGCCGACTCAGCTCTGCCTGAGCAGGACGCGCGCACGCTGTGCAGATTAAACCTCATTCGTACTCTCTCCTCTGCTGGACTGATACGTGTACACGGGCGACATCCAACGGAATTAGGCTTAAGCGGCTGAATGAGGATGAAACTCCACGCCATGTTCTGAGCAATCAGAGTAACTGACTGACCTGGTAAACCTTAGGATTCTAAAAAATATTAACTTGCTGCATGAAGCACTGCGATGCAGAGCCCCTCATTTCCAACAGAAAGCAGGTAAACATGTACTTTTTAAAAACTGTTCCTCTGAAAGAATTAACTGCTTTCAAGTAACCACGGTGAGGGTGAGTGCTTCATTTCTGCCAGCCGTCTCCTCTGCTTGCTTCCCCCCAAGCAAGAGTTTCCCTCACTTGCATGAGACTGAATGAGGGCATTTTCTCTCCGCGACGCTGACTTGGCACTTACACTCTCTACACGTAATCAAGGCACAACATACGTGTCCGAAGTCTGCCGTCGCCAGAGATAAAGCAGCCATTCTGAACACCTACACTGTTTATGCGTTGAGAACTGTCACTAGCTTTATGTTAGTTTACTTCCTCATTTTCTATCTAGCTTGGCAAAAAAAGCCTATTTATGAGATTTCTTTACTTACATTCCCTCAAAATTCATGCTATTTTATGCTGCTAGTAAATTCTCAGTTCCAGACTCTTCTCTATTGTCTGAACTATGCTAAAAGCCAGCCATGGTGCCAGATCTGCTCTATCAGACGCCACTGGAACCTGATAAAAACACAAACTCTAGGGTCCTGCCCTGAGACCCAGAAAGCTGTATTTGTTACACAGATGCCCCGTGTGACGGGGACCGGTTGGAAAATGGCTGGCTCGGCTGCCAGTGTTGACAGCCTGGTGGCACACACATGGCCTCCCTCCCTGCAGGTACTCACCACACCACGGGGAAGAGGATGGCTCCACAGCACAGCAGGTCAATCAGAAACAGAGAATCCTTCCACAGGCTATACTCTGTTGTCCCCTCCTCCGTGGACTCTATGATGATGTAGGCCACGTTTGCCAGGACCTACAGGACACGAGAAGTTGCTGAGGCCCCAGAGCGTGAGTGGACTCTCACGACAGCAGCCCCAATGCGGGGGCACACTTGCGTCTGCAGCCCCCCACCCGCGGCTGTCCTCTGGGCCCTCCTCCCGAGCTTGTGATAGCTCTGGCCAACAGAGTGAGGTGGAGCGATGCCGTGACATTTCCAAGGCAAGCTACACCAAGGCCCGGCTTCTCCTGCCTTTCCCTTGAGACACACAGCTCTGGAGCACTGAGCCTTCTGGTAAGAAGTCCGGCTGCCTGAAGCTGCCATGCTGGAGAGACCGGGCAGAGAGAGTGACAGGTGCCTGAGAGCCTCGCTGTTCCCGCCCGATCTGATCAAACCTGCCAGCCTAGCAGAAAGAGGCAAGAGAAGGCTTCACCAGGACCCCCGGCCCAGCCACCGTCTGGTTGCAACTGCAGGAGACACCGAGTCAGAAGGATGCAGTTAAGCCACTCCCCAGCTCCTGACCCACAGAAAACGTGAGTGAGAATAAACGCTGCTGTCTTAAGTCACTAAGTTTTGGGGTGATTCGTTGTGCAGCATCAGATGACCTGGACGCTTTGCTTTTTTAGGCCTCACCAGGTCACTCAGGTGCTCGACAAGTGGCACTTCACATCCGTTCAGCCACGACACCCAGATTCCTCAGGTCCAAGTTCTGCCTGTGCGGGTTCCTCTGCTTCTCAGTGACGATGACTCTCAGTGCCAGATGCTGTCGTCAGAGGTCAGAGCGGCAAGGATGGCCGACTGCAGCCCCCTGGCAGAGGAGCCACACCGGCCTCCCAGGGACGGCTCCTGCAGGTCCTCTCTATGCCGCACGCCGCCCAGGTCCTTCCACGGGTCATCGGCTTCCATCTCCAAAGTTACAGCTCTGCCTCGTGCATCCAGCCCCGTTACTAAGCTCCTAGCGTGTTACGGGGAGCCCTCCGCTGGCCCTCGGACACGGAGACGTTTAAAGCTGTGACGCTCCTCCACATCAAGGACAGTCTCCGAGACGCCCTTTGGAGCCCCCACTGGTGTGGAGAAGGCTGTGGTCCCAAACCCCCGGGCTGACTTGTCCCCGTGCAGACGCCCCTGCCCGCTCCGCAGCGCTCTCCTGGGAAGTCTGCGTGGGCTTCCTCCTGCCGTCTATGGAAATCTTCTCAGGGAAATCACGGCAGAAGCCACACTTCACTTAAAATCAGCGCAAACACTGTTCTGAAATGCTCCTTTGACACCCGGCTTCTGGGTCTCCCCGAAGCCCGCTGGACCCTGTATGTCCGCCTCTGGCGCGAGCTCTGCAGACGAAGTGGGACACAGAGGCTTCCAGAGCCCACGCTCTGATTCGCTTGTCCTCAGTTCGCACTCGCGACGCACGAGACAGCGTTCCCAGAGCGCTGGTGCGGAACGTCCCTGAAACGCCATTTGCGCCTCTCTCGCCTCAGCCCGAAATGCAAACGCGTGGGGGGCAGAGAAGCGGTTTCAACTTTCAGGCTGACGGTCGAGGCCTTCCCAGACTAGTTTCTGGGTTTGAACACACGTGACTTCTTTATATTGAATTTTTTATTTTATTTATTTTTTCTTTTCCCCTCTTTAATCCCCACCCCATTTCCACTGGACCCTGACCTATGGATGTTGCTGTCTCCCCTTATGAACTGGATCTCGGAAGGCGGGGCATCTCCTCTCACATGCTCGCTGCATGCACCCGGGGCCTGGTCCGTGGCTCCACCTGGAGCGCGAACCCAGGACCTTCTGCATGTAAAGCAGACACGCTAACCGCTACACTATGGAGCCGCCCCTATGTTGAATTTTTTAAATGCCCTTGTTTTCTCTGAGTGACTTGCTATGAGGGTAGCTTTGCTGCAAACGGTGCCAAATCTCCAATCGCCAGAGCGGAGCGGGCCTTTCCAGGTGCCTAGGGAGTTGTCCCCTTCCTTCCCTCACCTGCCACATTTACACCAGGCTCCAAAATGAGCCTGGTTGACAAGGACTACTTCGTCAACCTTTGGTTGAGCAGAGCGGATTCGCTGTGCATCCCTGCCGGGACCTCTCTGCTTGTCACGAGTCCTTTACACTCAGGTTCCGCCCGCCTAAGACTGTTTATCATAAGACAGGTTCCTCCGCCAAAGGGCTCACAAGCCTGAAAGGCAGGCCTCAGCCCAGGAAGGCTGTAACAAATACGTGCCCCTGAGGCCTGCTTCATATTCTGCCTCTTGGAAACTCAATTGTGTCATTCGCAGTTTTAAAATAATTTGTTAACAAAATCGCTAGGTACTTGAGCCTTTTTGCTAAGAGGCCCATTTTGTTACAAGGTGAACGGGCAGAAAGGGAGGCAGGGTGTCCCCCCAGCCTTGCCACAGCTCTCGATTCAAGAGCACACGTCCACGTGCTGGTTTAAAGGTGACGATGGTCCAGCACCCCCCAGAGCAGTGACGTGAGGTCTAGGTCTGTAAGAATTCAGAAACGGAATGCCTGATGGCAGAGGCCGGGGTCTGGGTGAGCCGACCCCCTCTTCCCAGAGAGGCCTGGGGCTGAACCCTGCTGCGCGCCAAGACAACTAGAACAAGCAGGGTTAGTGTCGCCTACCTGGAGCGGGATGACAATCATGAAGATCTTTTTGTCTTTATCGGAAAGGATGTGCTTAATGAAAGCCCAGCCGGTGCCAATGAGTGCGATGGTGATGAACAGCAGCGCCCCCTTCAAACTAAAACAGAAAAGATTTCACAGATGCAAGTGGGTCTCTTCAGACTCTCTGCAAGTTAGATCCCACAGCTCATTCTATGATTTCACATGCCGCTTGCAAAAGACGGGTGGCTAAATTCAGGAAATTCATCTCAAGTGAGCAACACTTCTTTCCAGGCACACAAATAGGTAGCTATGCACCCCACTACCTGAGCAGCCGATCCCCTCAGCGAGGCTACCCCTCCCCAGGGGCATGCCAACCGCCCCAAGCTCTCAGGTTTGGACAGCTGCCTGAATACCGCACGCCTCTGGCATGGCAGGAACCCAGAGTGACTGCCACAGGGGGCGAGGCCGGTCCTGCCAGGGATTCCCCAACCTCTCGTATGTGACTTCGCGGTATGAGCACGTCACGTGTCACCCGGCATACTTACAGGTGAGTGATGTAGTACACGACGGCCCACCCCTCAATCGGAAAGCCCTGGGAGGAGATGTAGTGGTAGTCGATCTGCAATCAAACGAGTGTGTCTCAGCGAGGTCGGCGGCTGGCCACACGCCGGTGCGCACGCAGTGGGACAGGAAGTGCTGCCCGCGGACCTCGGGATGGGGGGGCTGCCCTGCCCCACTCCCTAGTGACTCACTTGTCAATTCATAATTAAGCACGTGAGTGTGCTGCCAATGTCAGCTAGCTTGAGAACCTTGACACGAGTTTCAACGTCACTAACACCCAGCCCGGGTCCCTCTCCTGGGCAGGTGATTCGCCCTGGCCAATGGCAACCTAGTCTTTTCTCTAAAATCTCCCAGTTCCAAATGCCACAGTTTCCCAATAAAGAACTTTATCGTTCATACCCAGCTGTTTACATAGGTAAATAAGTCACTCGCTCGGTAAGGAAATCTACGTGGAATCACCCAGCTTAGAACGTATTTTCTTTGGAAAAAAAAAAACAAAACTGTAAATTCAGAGCCTCTTGAAGCTACCAACTAATTTTAATTAAAGGGGCAAGTTACAGTAGTGCCCCCAAATCCTTCCTGGCAGAACTCATGAAGGTGACATAAATGTCTTCATATGTATTTCATCCTATCACAAATGATCATCTAGATATAAAGTAGCTCAGGAATCCTATTACTTATTATCTACATGGTGCCAGAAAAAATCCTTAACTCAGGTGTAAATAAGAAATCATCCAAAGAACTGTCATTTCTTGAGACTGTAACTGGATCCACTATGTTTTCTGACAGCCTTAAGTGCAGCAGGGGACTGTCACCTATGGGGCGCCTCACAGGCCTTCAAACTGGGGACGCTGTGACCTTACTCTCATGAGCAGGCTCGTTTCAGTTTGTGTCAGCACTAAATATTCAAAACTCCAGTTCAATTTTATGCCTCAATCTGCAGAGCATCAATTTTCTCTCAAACAAGTATGCGAACACTGAATTTCCAATCAATGGGGACATGAGGGAATATTTGGAAAAATTAAGGGAGTCATGGAAACATTTAGCAAGTGGCACTCTAATCTCGAGAAATGACAAAAAACAAACCAACAACAACAAAAAAAAGAAATAAAAACAAGCAAGTGTTCTAGGAAAACTGTGGTCTGTGGCCAACATCGGATGTCTTCAGTTTGGTGGCAGGGAGGTTTTGATCTATTCCCAGGACAGTATCCCCAGAATGAAGGAGGCTTCGGGACAAAGGTATTCTTTCATCTTTGTTTCCCACTGATCTACCCACTTCCTTCTAATTGACTTTTCCTGCTCGTATAGGCACCGTACGTCATTTCAGAAATGACTCAAAAATATTAATACATACTGCATGGAACACCAAAGAGAGAGACTTGGTGAACGGAAGGGCCGCCATCAACCAGTGAATTTTAAATACCTCATTCCTATAAAAACAGAGAGAAAAGAATGAAAAGCATATTTCATTCCCCCAAAAGCCTGCCGAAGCTCCAGGCGTCAGACACATTTATAAGGAGGCAGTAAATGTAATCTAAACAAACCACAAACATGAACCCTTTTATTAAGCAAGCAGTTTCTGTGAGTGGAAAAGGCCTTGACCGGAGTGCTGGAGTCACCTCTAATGTGTGAGTCAGTGTCGTGAGTGGAATTGAGAGCTCTGCACTGAAGCCAGACGTGATGGGCTCCGAGTCCCAATGAGCTGGAAATCTAAACAGGTTGGTGACTTCTCCCCCGGAAACCACCTGGAAAGGCCACAGAAGTGTGAGGTAGACGGATCCACAGGAATGACGTGAAACCCACAGGAAAGGGGGAGGCTGGGCACAGCAGAGGGGGACATCTGCAGTGTGTGGAGCCAGGCGGCAGGGATGCTCATGCCCTTATCTCCCTTTTGTGGCTGGAACCCGCCACACACACCAGGCCAGCGGGGCAAAGTGCTCACGCCCACCGCCACGCCCACACAGGTACTCGTCCGGCTTTGTGCAGCCGGGCATTAAATTAATTAAATTCCTCTGCCCTTGCGCACCTCACCCTAGGAAGTAACTTAATAGGACACACAAGACTGTTTGGGAGAAAAACTTAAAACTCTATTAAATAAAGTATGTACACAAAGACTTGACTAAGAGCCACAGAGAACACTCACACGCTCATATCAAGACACTCAGCAAAGCTGCAGCAGTAAAAATGTGGGAGGAGGTAGCATCAGATGAATAAATCAACAGAATAGATAGGACTGTGGGAAGAACAGTATCTGTAGATAGTGTACTTTCAATAAATTAAAAATACATGCAACATCAATGAACATCAATGATTAATTTATAAAACGACACAAACATCCCAAAACACACATTTAAGCACGTTTGAGCGGCTGGGAAGGAGTGAGCCAGGGGTAGGAAATGAGGGGAAGACAAGGAGTGGGCCCTGCACAGAGATAAGCAGGGCGTGTCGTGCACTGACGCACACCCAACTTCCGGGTTGACTTCCTCCCTGGACATTTCCTGTCCCAGGGCCCACATACTTGAAACCAGCAAGGAAGGCCAGAGTCATCTGTCACTCCTGACTAGCAAGGAGAGTTAACCCACCCACCAGCAACCGCAGCACAGTCCTCGTTAAAACATCCCTGCCCGGGGCAGTGACGAGATGGGAAGAACACAGGCTCCGAAGCCACTGAATCAGCTCCGACAGCGCTTCTCCCCTGATGCCCATACTCGCTCCACACGTCAGCAACCTCTTCTGAAAATGGGGCGGTTCCTATCTCAAGGAGCTGCTGGAAGCCCAGCCGAAATCACACACGCAAGTGCCTGGCTGAGCAGAGAGCTGGCACTCACGCACTATCAGCTGCCTGTGCCCGTTCCTCCTCCCCAGGACACCCCTCCCCACTCTCGAGGGCCCACAGCTGAAATGCCAGAGTTCAGGGGTGCCACACATGTGTGACAAGGGGATGTGGGTTCCACTGGCAGCTCTGTCAGCTGACCCGAACCATGGCTCTCACCAACCCTCACCCACCAAGGCCTCGCTAAAACGGGGCAAAGATGCCCCAGTCCCTCCCGGCTGTGAGGGGCTGCGAGCTGGCAGCCTGGGTGTCACATCCTTCACATGACTCAAATTTCCAACCTAACGCCACTGGCTGGAAGACTCCCGGAAACAGGGGGCATGGGGCAGAGGGCGGAATCACACATTTCTGCGAGTCTATCGGACTCCAACAAGAAGCTTAAAACACGCTGTACAGAGCAGGTCAGCCTCATTTAACCACAGATGTAAAATTGCTTCCAGTTTTATATAAGGGGACCAGTGACAGTATTGTATCACTAAACAAAAGGAAATTAAAATACCACTGAATGCCTGGTTAGGAAACTATTTTGTATGTACCTCCTATTTGCATAGCTTCCTGATGTGCCAAACGAATTATTTTGGGGCAAATCGCATAACTCTGAAGACCTATGGCTCTGGAGAGGAAGCCAGGGCCAGTATACTTCGCAGTCTTGTAGCTGAGGAGAAAGGGACTTAGGGCGTGAGGCACCAGACTCCGGGAACGGTCAGCGTCTGCGCTCGAAAGCAGGCCTCTGTCTCCCGTTCTCACTGCTCTAATAAAGGCAAGAGCAAATCTTTCTTTAAATAAAACCCTTTTACGTCTGTCTGAATTTGTAGGATGCGTTTTTTCTTTATTAATTGCTCCCTGATCGTCTACTCCAAACGTAATTACATGGGGCCCTTCAGAGGAGAACGAGCTCTTTCCACCTGGTGGGTATAAAGGGTGTTCCAGCAAACGTGGATCAGCCAGTGACTGCTCCGAGCCGAGCCCAGGGCCCCCAGCCGAGCACATCCGCGAGAAGACAGGCCTCTAGGGCCAAAAGAAGTCCCAATTTTTTCCCCGATGCCTCAGAGAAAGTAGTGTTATCTCGGGTTCTTAATTATTATATAAATTTAAATTAATACATATTATAATACTATATTCACATAAAACCATTTACTCAGTTTATGGACCTTATCCTGGAACAAATACTTCACAATATTGTTTAACTGAAAATCAGTATTTTGTTCTCAATTTTGGGGAGAGGGAGACAGACTTAAACACTAGCTCCACATATACGCAGCTGGTCCCCTCGAGAGCCAAGTACAGGAAGTTAGAGCCCAGGGGTTTCAGAAGGCCAGTAGCCAGGAAAGTGGGCTTTGAAGAGGTTTTCTCCAGTGACAAGCCTCTGAAGGTCAGTGTCCATCCAGCCCGGATCTGAGCTGAGGCCTTGAGAACTAAGCAGTACCTCATGCTCTCACCCAGCCAGTGGTCACTGTCACTCATCCCTTCCCAAGGACAAACAGCCCATGAATGGGACCAATGTGTTCACTCTAAGTCCTGCACTGCGGTGTCTTCACTATGGAGACGCTTGGCTTACACATTTAACGTTGCTTGTGTATTAATGAACTATTTGGATTTGCCTTTTAAACAAAGCAATGGGAAGTGAGCAAACACCAAGGCACGCAAAGGTCTTCCACGCTGCAAGCTCCCACAGTCTCCTTGTGTTTTGGGAAAGATGATGTTTGAAGAGAACAAGCTAGTGCTAATTCCTTCCAGGTGCAGAGGCCAGCAAAGAGTGAGGTTATACAAATTCCAACCCACTCTAAGTTAAAGGGCTCCAGGAAGAAATGCTTTACCGTCGTTTTCGAAGGATGTGAATCCAGACGGTCCCAGAGAGGAAAAAGAAAAAGGCCATGGAAATATATAATTTAGGGAGAGGGATTTCTCCCGCTGAGAGGTAGCTGTCAGGATTCTTCTCTGTGATCTCGATCTGAAACCAACATGAAATTAATTTTTATTTTTCAAGGACAGATCATTCCACATTCAGCAATTTGTAATCTTAGCTGTTTCGCTTAAGCTTAAGAAAGTGAGTATCAGCAGAGAACAATCATATTCTCAATGCACAGGCTGAAGGGTAAACACATCCTAAATTGTTCTATATTTTCTTGTTCGTGAACCCTCTGCTGAAGTATCTGCCCACTGGCAGAGACATTATTCTGGCCACATTCTTCTTTTGCTTAAGTGCTCTTAAAACCTATTATTTAAAAAAAAAAAAAACAAAACCCTATTCTTATAGAGAAATAAATGTCTCACATTTTACACAGCTGACAAAACCCACGTGGAAGAGATTCCACAAGGTACTCACATCAAGGCTGAAGGAAAACTTGTCATTAGACCACATTTTATTTCCAAGGCATTTATGGAAATAAAGACTGTAGAGGCCTTCTTGGTCATCAGTGCTGATATTAAAGAAAAACTGAAAGTGAAGAAGAAAAAAATTAAAGGGCACCCAAATTCTCAGCTAAATCTTTAAATCTTAGAAATCATGAATTCTATAGACAGAAGAAAATATAGACTACTTAAAATCACATTGTCCCAGAGCAGTTTAAAACAGATGTTTTCTTGTATTGTGATTTCCCTCCAATATTTAGTTATTTCAAGCCAACAAGAGATGACAAGATTATACAGAAAATACCTATATACCCACTACCTAGACTCTACAATGAATATTTCATTCTCCTTGTTTTATCACGATCTATTCCTCGGTGAGGGGTTTTGGCAGAAGTCTGAAGAGATAACCTAAGAGGCAGTTATCTAGTTTTTGATATCTAGTTTTTAGTTGCTCTTTAAGTAAAAACAACTCCTGAAAAAGAAAGGAGGTTCGCTTGACACTCTAAAAGGTAAACAACCAATATTCTCTCATGAAAATTTATACCTATCATTTTAAAAACTGTAATAAATGCTATGTTTTCTACATTTAGACATTTTTCTATGTTTTTCATATATTTCACGTGTTCAAATTAAGTTTTATGTAAACTGAAAGACATTATACATACATAAGATCACAAAAGTGACTCCTTGGTCTATTCTAGAGAACATTTTACTATAAGCCTAAAATATATCGTTTAGGGCTACATATACATATGGCAAACTATAAAGAAAGGTGAGATGATCATAGAAACATTTTCATGATAGGATTACTCCAGAGTTGGGAAGGGATGTGAGGGACATACAGGAATTGTGGGGTGTTAGCACTGCTCTACTTCTTATCCCAGGTGATGGTTACAAAGGTGATTCTTTATGACTATTTGTACTCAACCGGGTACTACACACTCTTTTGTATATATACTATACCTTACAATTATTTAAAAGGATTAGGAAAAAAGAGACATCTGATAAGAAGATAGAAGTAAAAGACCAAGAATATTCAAGCTGAAATTATTAATCTGTTAAACCACATCCCAAACTTGTCACTGTAAACGTGAGGTGTGCATATTAGTCCACACAAGGCGGCCAGAAAAAAAAAAAAAACCTTTTCTAAACATATTAATGACTTTTAGTTCCAAAATACCCAAATGAAGTTTCTAAGAAACATGTTTTTTAAAAATCAACAGAATCATCACAGTCAATCAGAGTAGGCACCCAACTCTTAAAGAGAAAATCGCAACAAAATAAAGCAAAAATGTAAATTTTAGAGATTGGAATAAGCCCTGACAGTCCCCTTTCTGCTTTGGGTACATAAGTGACCATCCCTGTTCGTGGCTGGAGCAGAAAGGCTTGGCGTGACTGCACTGTCCACAGTGGCAGGACCCTGGGTAGCGAAACAGCAAGGAGACACCTACTGAGTCCTTTACCAGGAGGGGGAAAGCCGTGAAGAGGCAAGCTGTCGGGGCACTACCGTGTCATGCAACCCAACGCCCCGACGAACTGGCTATTCCAACCGGGGTCCCTCAGGAGCAGTGTGCTGCGTGCCCCTGGACATGCACCTCACACAGAGCATTAGTAACTGATGAACACAAGCGCCTTACAATGCTTTTTACAAAGCATTCAAAAAAATCATTTTATTAACAAGCATTTTAAAGTGAGAGGGGAAAAAGTACCTTTTGTATTTTCTTAAGGAGGTAGTAAAGCAAAGTGGTTAAACACATGGGCCTTGGAGTCAGACTATCCTGGGTTTCAATCCTCCCCTTAGGCAGGTGCTGAACCTCTGAGCCTCAGTTTCCTCTCCTCTCAAAGGGGAACAGTAACAGTACCTACTCCGTGAAGTTGTTGGGAGGATGAACTGAGCTAATGATAACGTATCAGTACTTGGCACGGGCCTGGCAGGCATTCATTCACCTCCATGGTTACTGATGAAGAGCCTGTCATGGGCCAGGCCCAAGGTTAGGAATTTCATTCATATCAACAATAAAAGATAAACATCCCTGCCCTTCTGGTGACTTTCGAAAGGGAGGGACTGACAATAAACATAATAAACGAGTCAGTTACGGCACGGCACGCTAGAGAGAAAAGCGGAGGGAAAAACAGAGCACAGGGACGGAGCAGGGGAGTGGGCTCCATTTAAAATATGGTGATTGGAGGAAGCTTTGTTGAGAAGGTGACATCTGAGCAGAGACATGAAGGAGGAAGAAATTCATCATGAGGGTTCGGAGGGGCACGCCTTCCTCCCACCCAGCACAGTGTGAGCGGAGCCTAAGGCCTGCTCTTACTAGGAGCGGCGAGAGGGCCTGTGCACCTGGGGTGGGGGGCGGAGCCGAGGTGGAAACCGCCAGCGGTTGGACCACGCGAGCTCCTGGACCAGCGCGAGCACTTGGGCTTTTACTGAGACAGATGGGAAGCTGCTGAGGATTCGGAGCAGGCGAACACCCCACGAGCTCTCAGTTAGCTACTAATATCAGTGACTACCAAACTTAAAGAACATAAAAAACTGTTAGATAGGCAAAATAATCTCCGGTGAAAGAAATCAAATGCTGGATGCCGGGGTGGGGGACTTCCTGACGTGACAAAAGCACGGAGAATCTTGACAGAGAGTGGGATGCGTGCGTGCACGCGTCTGTCAAAACTGATCGAACTGTGCGCTTCAGGCCTGTGCATTTCACTCTAAGCAATTACACCTCAATTAATAAAAACTGGTTAGAAAAGAGGCAGTGACTCTTACACATTAACGATAAAGATTATCTGTATAGTGCTTTACAGAGCACCTTTAGCTTTTTAAAAAATGATACACGTAACAACCCTATAAGTTCCATCAATTTTGATTTTTAGATGATCAAAGGGCGAGGTTCAGAAGTTAAGTGAGTTGTCCAAGGTCACCAGCTGGTAAGCGGGTGCTAAGATCCAGTCCAATGTCCTACCCCATACGTAGGCTGTGATGCTGCCACAAACACACGCAGTTAATAACGGTGACAGCTGAGCGGGTCACTCAAAGCCTCTGAGTCTCAGTGACCTCATCTCTAAAATGACGTCACCCTAAGTGATCACCCACGGTCCTTTGAGGTACAGAATCCTGTGCTTCTGGAGCACTGCGAATGGGAGGTGGCATGGGATGAGAGAGGCAGAGTTGCAGGGACCACCAGACAGAACTAGGTCGGAATCTGAGCCTTGTCACTGACATTGGACATTCGTGAAGTTATTCATTCTCAAAGACTTAGGATTTGATATGCGGTGCATGGTGACAGCCACCTTGTAGGTTTGTTATGGTGAGAGCAACTGTATTCAAGTGACTGATAGTGCACCTAAATTCAAAATTCCTTTAAAAATTCACCCTTTTACATGGTAGAAATAAATTCTATGAAGCTTTACTCAAAGAAAATACATACCTGAAATGAAACTGCCCCATCATTTTTATGAACAGAAAAAGATTTCTCTCCCATGGCCTAAAAAGACATAACAACCTGTTTTAGGATGCTGGCAGAAAAAGGAAGCTAATAAAAATAAAGATAAAAAAATAATAAAAAAACAACCTCAAAACACATTCTTCTTCAACCATAAATTTGCTGACCTTTAAAAGCTCCCTGAAAGTAAAAGTCACCCTCCTTTCAAGATGTCTGAAATCCCCTTTCACAGAGAATGGTCATTCTCCTTCACCCATGTCCCTCACTCGGCTCTCTCTTCTGCAGTCCACGAACCCCCATTCCCTGCCCCCGCCCCGACCTTCCTGCTGGAGCCTGTCTCTGCTCTTAAAACTTCAGCCAGAATAAGGATGCCGACCAGGCCACACCGGATGCATCATCAACACGTTGCCATTGGTACAGCGGACTAAGCAATGCAAAGGAGGAACTGCTGATATACGCGACGACGTGGATGAACTCCAAGTAATTATGCTGAGTGAAAGCAGACAGAAGAGAGCACGGACTGCAGAGTAAATCTGTATGAAGTGTTATGAAACTAATCTACAGATCGGTGGTGGTTTGGCTACGGGAGGATGACAAAGGGACAGGACAAAATTCTGGGGTGATACGTTCACTGTCTTGATTGTGGTGGTGGCTTCACAGGTATACATGTAAGTCGAAACTCATCGAATTGTCGTTTTAGTTACAGCAGTCTCCCCCAATGGATGCCTGAAACCGCAGACGGTCCTAAACCCTACATATACTATGTTTATGTTTTTTCCCATACCCACATACCTATGATAAAGTTTAATTTATAAATCAGGCAATTTCACAGATGGAAGATTTGCTCTTATCATAGATTTTACCAACGTCATGATACAATTTTTTTTCTTTCCTTATTAAGTGAAGAAACGCCACCCCATGGCTTGGAGGAAGCACTCTGCGGCTTCGCCGTGGCATACCTGATCGGCCAGCAACACTACTCTTGCACTTCGGGGCCGTCAGTAAGCAAAGTAAGGGAGACCTGCACACAAGCACCGCAGTACCGTGGCAGCGGGTCTGATGACCGCGATGGCTACCGAGTGACTGGTGGGCGGGCAGCATACACAGCTGGCCCTGTAGTACCTAAAATCCCTCTCTCTGCTCCCAAATGTGTACCTGTTAAACAGGCCAGAGCCCAGCACTGTCACGCTGGTCTCCACTTTCAGTCCTGGCTCCGACAGCCGTCATCCCTCCCTTCCCTTCTTCCTCCACCGACAAACCCACTGAAAGCCACGCCCTGATGGCTCTGCCTTCCAGAGGGTTCTCCAGGTAACTCCCTCCCCTCCGCCCTCACCATAAGTGCTCTAAAACTCAGCACTCAGTTTTACTTTGAGGTTGTGGCAGTGTGTCCACTTTATCTCTCTAAACTCAAGGCAACTCTCTTTAGATTAGGCGTGTACACATACGCATACGTACCTGGGTGTGTGTACTTATATAAACACACACACACACACACACACACACACACACACACAGAGATATATCCAGGAGAGCTGAGCACAAGGGGTGGATTGTCCTTACCTTTGAATCTACTGTACTTCTTTTAGACTTTCCACTCTCTAGAAGCAGAAACATTTAAAAGGATTCAGCTCATGTTCTCATTACAATTTCATTCTATGAGACTCTAGCTTATCTAATAGCAAATAATTCAAACAAACAAACAAAAAGGTGAGGCCATATGCTACCTTGGGGACTGCCATCGCTTTGGATCCCAAAATACCTCTTGAGCTGCAGAAGCAGCAAATCGGAACCTGTTATATTATAAACGCTATCAGATAAATGATAACACTCGGGACCAAAGGGGGACTTCGTCTCTGAATAACACAGTGCAGGTTATTGCCAGACATGCCACAGGGAGTTGCCTTCCTTATTTTCTAAGTCATTACGTTTGAAAACAGTTCACTGTTTAAATATATATATGAGATTTATTACACACATGGAAAAATTATTAGCAAATATTAGCATCATGCGTACTGTTTTTCATAGCAAAGAGTGTTAAGCTTGCTAATGGCTTCTTTCATGGAACAGAGGGCATCTGTGCCTTATTTTTACTTAAAATACTCTTCATGAGGAAGACAGGATCTTAAGCTCCCTGCAGGAAGGGAGAGAGTTTCAGAATAAAGAGAAGAAAGAGAATGCTTCCGTCCCAGGGAGTGGTTCTGTGAGCACGAGGAACCTGGGCAAGGAGACGGTGCGTTCACGTGAACATACACCATCACGTGAGTACAGTACTTCTGTCCACCATTTCACTTGGGACGGGGTTTAGACCAACGGAGAAAAAATGTGTAAATAATACAATAAACAGTAAATTATCTTTAAAGAACTCATATAAATTATTAGGCAAACCTGACTATTAATAAAAGAGGTAATAAATATAACTTGGTTAATCAACATACAGAGAAAAAGTGCAGCCTAGTAATAAGCGTGAAGTACAACTTAGGGAGTACAGTCAATAATATTGGAATAACGATGTACAGTGCCAGGTGGGCACTAGACTAACCGGGGGGGGTCACTTCACAAATTCTATACCTGTCTAACCACTATGCTGCACACTTGAAGCTAATATAAAATAATACTGAATGTCAACTCTAATTGAAAAATAAAAATTAAAAATAAATAAAAACTTGAAATGAGGGAAAAAAGTGAAAACAAAAACAAGAATACTTTGGCCTTTCACTTGAAGATGAAACACAAATACACGCATGCACACACACAACAGTTCTGGCTAGGACACGGTGATGTGGGCACTATTTCCACATATTTTCCCATAGAAGATAAATTCACACAACTCATTTGGAAAGGAAGTGAAAATATGTATCAATATTCCCAAAAGTATTCATATCCTTTGAACCAGATATTTCAATTCTGGGACCCCATCCTAAAGAAAGTTCTATATATGAAGAAAGTTTTATGAACAAAGAAATCCAATGCAGCAATACAGATAACAGCATCAAAATGAAAACATGTCTACTGAAGGCTTGGAAAGGTTGGGCAAATTACAGTGTCCATTCAATGGGGTAGTGGGTAAATATAAAATATCTTAAAGTTAAGTGAACAGGGATGTTGAAAATGATAAACATGATCGCAAATTTTAAAAATCAAATGTTCTTGACGTAAGAAACAAGCTTAAACGGAGACGTACATTACGAAATTTCTAACACTGGCAGTAAGGGGAAATGACTGTTCCTTTTTCTACCTTCTCCATATTTTCCACATTTTTCTTTAATTATTACACATCTTTGTATAACCTCCCGAATAAAACAATGCTAATTGATCGTGTTTGTTTTCACTTAGGAACAAAAAAGAATCTCCAAAGCCAGGTAGTGAAGAAAACGCTAGTTTCCAGCTTATGGTTTACCTTGTTTTTTCTCGGTCTGGCTGCCCGCTGAAACAGGGTTTGTGCCAGCCTCCTGGCCCTGACGGGGGACTTTCTCATCCCTGCTGACGATGATCGTTGGCAACTGGGTACCAGCTTCCGGCGGAGATTTTATTTTCACTCTACATTCAAATAAGACAGGAGGAAAAAAGTTCAAAGATACGCTTACAGCCACCGAAGCGTTAAAGTATGTTAGGCGCCCTTTCGAGATGAACACATCATCTCGTGTAGTCCTTACAATGTCCTATGATGTCGACCAGCAGTCCCCAACCTTTTTGGCACCAGGGACCGGTGTTCCTAAGAGAATCCAATGCCTGAGGATCTGAGGTGGAGCTGAGGCGGTGATGCTAGCCCTGGGGAGTGGCTGCAAATACAGATGAAATTTTGTGCACTCGCCTGCCGCTCACCTCCTCCTATGAGGCCCAGTTCCTAACAGGCCACGGACGGGTACCAGTACCGGTCCATGGCCCGGGGCTTGGGGACTCCTGATGTAGACTCTATCAACTGCATTTTACAGGTGCTGGAATAGAGGCTCAGAGGGTTAAATACCTTCCTTGCCCAAGAGCAGTAAGCCAGTGAGTGGATGGGCAAGGACCCAGGCAGTCTCACTCTAAGGCTGAAGTTCTCAGCCATCGAGCAATGCTGATGCACACACTTCCCCCGGAAGTGCCTGTGATGTGTTCAACAAACTGGTGCCCAAGGGAAATGGAACGAGAGGTTTAAAAAAAAAAAAGGACAAGGAGACGTGAAAGTGCAGCCTAGGGGAACACGTGAGGGCGGAACCATTAGGCCTGCCTAATCCGCATCGCCTCCCTCCTCCCTTCTTAACAGACTCACCTTCCGCTTACCCCGTCCCGCACGAGGAGGGGCCAGCAAATTTCCATGCCTGCGTGGACATGTGACCTCAGCTGGCCCAAGTGGAAGGGAAGCACTCCCAGTCCTGACTGGGAGAAGCCTTCCTCCTCTGCCCTCAGCTGGACAGGAATGAGAAACTCACCTTACTGAACATGCCAGGCTATTTCGCGCCGCTCTGCCGCTGTACAGAATGCTCGCTCTGTGGAATGCT